CAGGCGAAACCTGCCCAGGCCGAGGTGAGTCCCTGGGGCCAGGCGCTGGCCTGGGGTCCCCCATCGCTGCGGGGTGCAGGCTGGCTCTGAGCACTGGAGGAGACAGCAGTGATCTTGGCTGCGGCTCTGCAGTGCGCTGCTTGGGGATGCACCATGTCTCCTTCCTGCAGCGACCAAGCTTTACCTCTATTTCCTATATGCCTAAATAGTTCCCACTACATGACATCCTGTGACACCCCTTGCAGGCAAGGCAGCCCCGTCCCCGGGGAACCAGGGAGGCAACCGTCAGCCCAGCGGCTCTCCTGAGGTCTCTTGGGCACGCATGTCGCAACCAGCCCTGCTGCCGCCGTGGCCCAGCTCTCCCTCTCGTTGCAGGAGCAGCGCATCGTGTCGCCGGAGACGGACAGCGGGTTTGTGGGCTCGGAGGCCAGCAGGGTGTCTCCGCTGATGCACACGCCAGAGCACCGTCCCCCGCGCGCTGGGTATGGCTCTTCCTGGCCCCATCACCCTCGGCTCCAGGACAGGCTTCGAGGAAACAGGCTATTTGCTCCATGTGAAGTGAAAGAGATGGATTTGGGGAATTAGAGGGGAGCAGTGACAGGAAAGAGACACTGGTGGAGGCACAAGGAGGGAGCGGGGCTGGGGAGCTCGGAGGTGTTCCCAACAAGGGTTGGAGGCGTGCAGGGTGACCCGCAAACAGGATGAGACCGATGCTGGGTGGGGCAGGCCAAGCATGGAAGGGCTGAGGGGGAGCTTGGAGGATGCCTCGATGACCCGTCTTTTCCCAGGCCACCTGGCTCACTGGGAAAATCTGGCCCCATCTCCACTCCGGCAACCCTCCATCCGCTGCAGAAGAGAGAGGCAGCCCCGCTTCCCTCGGAAAAGGCATTGATGGGCATCTATACGACCTCCGGGCATGGGCCCCCCCGGGACGGCACGCGAGGGCCCAGCGTGCGCCCCAGCACCCCCTCGCAGAGCAGCTCCCCTCCCCAGTGGGCAGACAGCATCGCCAGCGAGATGGTACCCGATGCTGATGGCAGTGAGTAGGCAGCGTCCGGCCCCGGGCCGGGGCAAGCGGCATGAGGAGTGATGGGTCCCCTGGGGGCAGCGACATCCTCCACCACATGCCACGGTGAAGAAGTGTTTTCCACCCTAAATTATTTTATAGCTGCAACTTATGGATTTTTTGTCAGTGATTTATTCTCTGGTCCTTCCACCTCCCTAGCAGCTATTATCCACCCCTGAGATCGGCCTGGGCCTCCCAGAAAGAGGAGATATGGAGGGCCCCAACTCTAAGGATGAAAGAGGCTTCAGCTTATGGGCTGGCAGCCACCAGTGGGGCTCTCTGTGCTTCCTCGGGGGCTGGCCCTGGGGGAGGCTCCTGGGGATGCCCCCACGCAGGGGTTGCCCTCATGCATGCTGGCTCTGGTCTCCCAAGCATCTTCTGGTGGGAAAAAACACCTCCTACATCGCCAGCCTGAGTTCACCATGTCCTCCTTCCTCCCCAGCTCACACGGACTCAGAGGCAGAAGGGAGGAGCTGCACCAGCGCTTACAGCCACCCACCAGGCAAGACAGGGGGTCCGGTTGGCTCGGCCGCCACCATGCTGTCCTCCACCCAGGCTCACCATGACCTGCTGCGTTCCCGCATGGAGCGCGAGTGAGTGTCCGTCCCCTCCTCCCCACCAAAAATGGGCTGAACTGTGGGGTGACACAGGGTCGCGGGGACCCCAGGGTGGGGGAGCCGAGGCGCAAATTCAGAGCAAATGCGGGAGGCCGGGGTTATTCGTCTGATGGGGCAAGGCCGGGGCACGTCGCATCCTTGCACAACACTAGCAAACGCTTCCGGGAGCGTTGCGGGGCGGCGCGTCCCCTCAGCCGCTGCGGAGCGAGGGAGGCAGCGGAGCCCGGGTACGGCAGTGCCAGTCGGCGGCCTCCCCATCGCGTGCGTATCGCTGCCGGCCAGGGTGTGGGGCGGCACGAGGACTGGGACCGGGTGGAGAAGGGAGTCAGCCCCCTCCCCCTGCGCCGGTGCCTGTGGGAGCCCCGGGGGAGCCCCTGCCGGGACCTCGGGGTGCTGTGGGCTCCCCTGCAGCAGAGGACCCCACGGGGCCCGGGGTGCCTGGCGGCGCCCATGGGTGCCACCTACCCCTTGGGTGGAGGCTGGGATGGGGGCCGGCTATGGAGGTGGCAACCTGCGTGTTGGGAGGGAGCCCGTTCTCGGGAGATGCATCCCGGCTGACATACCGGGCCCCTGAGCTGCCGGCCTTGCCAGGGCCCCTGTCCCTGCTCACGGGTCGCCAGGGGCCACCGTTACGGTACCCGAGAGGCCCCTCGCGCCCTGTTACGTAGGCAGTGTCTCCTGGCGTTTTCCCTGGCGGATGGGCAATGCTGAGCTGCACGGCCAGAGGACGGTGCCAGCTCGTGGCAGAGATGGGTTCCTCACTGTGCTGGGCAGGCCACAGGCTGGGAGAACTGCTGTGCTCTCAGCCGTGTGATGAGTGTTGTGGGTTCTCCATAGAAACCATCTGTGTGTGCAAACCGGCCAGGGCTCCGGCTTGACGTGGGGGAGGGATGGCAGCTCCCCCGGCTCCGCTGCCCCCTGTGTCACCCTGGGCCGGGCACAGCAGGGCCAGGGGTGCAAACCCCACCCCGTGCCTTGAGGCCGCTGCACACTGGCTCCCTCCCCCCAGCAGGTTTTTTTTTTGCGGGACGAAGTGTCGCGGCTTCAGCAGAGGCTGGAGGACAGCTTGCACCGATCACACAGCTACCCAGAAGGAAAAGCCTCTCCGCGTCCTGCAAAGGCCAGGAGGCAGGCGGTGGGGAGCGGACCGTCCCCCAAGGACTCGGCACTTTCTGAGTAGGTGGCAGAATGCACCGGGGCTTTCCTCCAAACAGCACCGAGCCGGGACAGGCAGCAGGCACCTCTGGTGTGGGACGGGGAGATCCCCCGTCCTCAGTTGCTCCAGTTTCTGCTGGGACCTGGAAGAGGTTTGGGTCCGGGGAGAGACCAGGAGCCTGGCTCAGTTGGGATGTTAGGCTGGGGGATCGCATGAGGGGACCCCGAGGGATCTCACAGATGTCATGAGAGCAGAATCAGGCCATTACTGTGTAGGTTACAGGGACGCAGCTGGCGAAGGGTCCCCCTGCGCCCTCTGAGGCAGGCACACCTCCGGGAGGTGCCAAGCAGCCCCCTGACTTAACTCGCAGCTGCCTGCAACTGCAGGCGCCTCCCGCTCCTG